ACTGAAAGGCTGGTCGGAAGGGGCTCGCATATTCAGAGCAGGGTCAACCCTATCGTTGTTACTTTTCGAAAAATTTTTACGACCCCCCTCCCTCAAGACACCTCGACCACCATATTCCTCTCTATAACGTTAACTTCCACTACCACTCAACCCTCAAAACTCCGCCCACTTTTTCCTCCAAAAATGCCGTCGGGGGGGGGGGGGGGGGTATATACCCTCTGAAACAGTAAAAATTTTCCCATAATTTCCCACAATTCCCTAAATTTTCAACCAATTTACCCTATTTCTACCTATAATCTCCTGTTTCCTTTTCTAGGGGGGGTATATACACCGGCTGAAACGGCAAATTTTTATCTTGCGCGCCCTCTACTCGCACAACCTACTACCCACGAAATCTTAGTTTCTCCTCAATCCCACCCCTGATTTCGAGCAACTAAAGTGAGTACGACCCCCCCTCCTACAAACTCAACCAGGTACGACCCCCCCGTTGTTACTCGTAACAACGTAGGGTTGACCCTGCCTAGTATGCAACAATTGCTGCTCTACCTAGATATCGCTAGTTGGGCCCAGAGTCAACCCTGCGTTGCGCAGTTCGCAACGGCACGTTGAGAGATCCTCAACGCACGCTGTATGGGCGGAGACGCAGACGGCTCGAGCATGCGAGTGTGAATGTTCGCGCGAGAGAACGTGTCTAATCGGGCGAAACTGCGCAACGTGGCCGTTGAAAACTGCGCAACGCAGGGTTGACTCTGCTAGGTCACCAACGTTCGTGGACGATACGCCGATTTCGACACAAAACTCCGCACATCCACCCCCCACCCCCCTCCCATGATCTTGCTGTGCACGCCGATGTGTCGCCGTAAGCGTCGCGGCCAACTAAATAGCTATGTTAGCTGGCCCCGCAACACGAACCCCGCGACCTAGGCGAATCCGTCAGTCGCCAAAGTCTCACATCGGCCTACACGGTGAGTTGCCACTCTCTACAACTCCCCTTCAAAAACTGCAAACAGCGTCGAGCAAGAGTCAACTGCTGAAACCGAGAAATGTGACGAAATCCAAAAAAAGTTAAATATTCAAGAAATGTTCTCTTAAACTTTTTCAAAAGGGATAAGTTCCGTCCCACTTCCTGGCATGCCGACAACCTTCACCGACCCCTCACGTCTTAGATAGAAACCGCTTTATTTGAAATACACAAAATTAACCTACTCAATTGCTAGCAAAGGGCGATGATTCTGCCTGTAGTGCTCTTTGTGTTTACTTCCACGCCTCAATAATAAATTTGCACCCAAAAAGCCATTCATAACGATGGAGCCTCTAGAAATTTCACCATACTCTGAACGTTACGCAAAAACGTCAAGAGAACTTTAAGCATTGGTTGCCGATATATGGGCTGAAGCGAATGTTTTAAACCGAGTCTCCTGAGGGAGCGCGTCCAAGAAAGTCGCCGAAAACTCTCCCCTTTGCTAAGGCCCGCCAAGTGGCCCCACTCAGTAAGAGCACCCCACGATTTAAGCGTGATCCGCCGCTGCTCGTTTTGAGACTCCCACAACAGCTGTTTCTCTAGACCCTCCCTCGTGCGGCGTGGTCCTTCGCGCCTCCTGCCTTCTCTGCTCGCTCTGATCTCTGTCGTACCGGGCCCAGACCCTTACAGAAGGTTGTGGCTCTTAATTTCAATGTTTTCGATGGACTTTGCTTTTTCACTTTCAGACCGCCTCGCATAACCTCCTTCATTACTAAACGCTCTCACGTGCCAAATTTATCCCGGGGCTTCTTTCATCATGAGGTCGAACGGGTTAACCACTTCAGAGAATTTTACTGAAGCAAAACTTCGAACGAGTCGAGGAGTATAGCAGTATATACTTTAAGCATCTCATAAGAAGGTCGAGTCTTAATATAAGAGAGATAAGATATATATAGAGATAAGATATATAAGAGAATCACTGATTTCCTCAACTCATGAAAGGATAGTATGAAATCAGCAAGAGGTGCAGGTTCGAGTCCCGCCTGGGGCGAAAGTTTTGTTCACAACCCAGCATTCTTGTGAAACATTCGCAACGCGAACTGCGGCGTTAAAACAGCAGTTAACAAACAAAACAACTCAAAATGTAATCAGTAGCTTTAGGTTACGCCCTACACTGTTGTCATTCACACCACCCATTGTCTTTGTTCTCTTGTCTTCCCTTCGCGGCGTCATTTCATCAACTTTTTGGTATCACTGTCTATAGTTACCGGTATTGTTCGGTTCATTCGATTCCTTCGATTGCCCGCAGTGGGCGATCTTTCTGTCGTTCTCTCGATCAACTCACGTATATTCAGTTCACACGGCCGTCGTTTTTAACCAGTACTCCCCCAAAGAGTAGTAACAAAGATTCGATATTCCAGATTTACCATGGCCATTACCTTGTCTGACTTGCCCAAATTCATCTGCGCTGTCCTGTTGCCGGTGAGTATTTTCTCTTCGCTCCAAACATAGTGAACTTTAAATTTCAATTGAAAACACCACAGTTTATCTATGCACTGTACTAAAGGGTCCGTTTCGAGTGCGCACCGCCCAAATTGCATTTTTCAGCATCATAATTATTCGCTAGGATTGGATAAGCTAACTGGGTTCATTGAGATCTTCCCTACATGAAAACCCTACTAATTGTAGAAGCAAACTATTTGTCAGATGCACAATTACCAGTTTACTAAGGAGGGGTATGGGTCAAGATGTCAGAATTACCCCGCAGACAGTACCCTCCCCTTCAAAAAGCGAGAAAGTGTCGGGTGCAGACCATGCACCACAAGTGACGACGGCCTTCACAAAATGTTAATGTTTTCTGCCAATGAAATGATTAGCCTGTTGCAGTTGTATTCTATCGATTGTCACTAATTACAACTATCATTTACCAGAAATCAGGCTATCACTATGC